TTCTATGATTCTATGAGGGGATGCCATTTTAGATTTAGTATTAGTAACTAACAGGGACCTCATAGAAGAGCTGGTTGTAGAGGACAACCTTGGTTCAAGTGACCATGAATTAATTTACTTCAAACTAAATGGAAGGATAAACAAAAATAGTACTGTAAGTAGGGGCCTTGATTTCAAAAGAACAACCTTGAAAAATGTAAGGGAATGAGTTGGGGAAGTGGGCTGGACTGAAGAACTCCAGGATCTGAATGTGCAGGAGGAATGACTTTAAGTCAAAGTTGCAGAAACTATTTGGAGCCTGCACCCCAAGAAAGGGGAAAAAAATTGTCGGGAAAGGTTGCAGATCAAACTGGATGAACAAGCATCTCAACCAGGTTATTAGGAGAAAGCAGAACGCCTACAAGGAATGGAAGGAGGAGAAGTTACACAGCCTGTGCAGTGATTGTAGTTCTTTGAGATGTGTGTCCCTACGGGTGCTCCACTTCACGAGGTTCTAGGGAGCAGTGCCTGTTCAACCAGCACATGCACCCCACCTCATGCACTGCCCCCAGCCCCAGGCCGGCTATATAGAGCTGTGCAGGTGAGCTGCCCTCTCTACCGCCAAGCTCCCTAGCAGAGAACTTTGAAGCAGGGGAAAGGAGGTCAGGTAGTGGAGTATCCGTAGGGACACATATCTTGAAGAACTACAGTTACTGCACTGGGTGAGTGGTCTCTCCTTCAAGTAGTGCCCCTATGGGTCAGTGGTTCTCAACTTATATACCATTGTGGGCCGCATATGCAGCTCTCTGTGTGTTATGTGGGCCTCATTCACACAATATATATTCTATCTGTATGGCCCTTAGGATGTCACATGGGCCGCAGCTGTGTGCTGATTGGGCCACAAGCGGCCCGCGGGCCGGGGTTGAAAACCACTGCTCTGAGTGCTCCACTAAGCAGTACCCTCTAAGGGGGGTGGGGTCTTCAAAGTTGAGTCCAAAACTGAAGACTGAAAAGTAGAGCCAAACACAGCATCAGAAGCTGAGTCATAAATTATTGCATAATGTTCCGAAAAGGTATGTGGAGTGGGGGGGGGGGTCTACATTGCAGGTCTACATATTTCAGCAATGGGAATGTTCTTAAGAGAAGCTACTGAAGTAGAGAGAGATCTCGCTGAATAAGTGAATACTCTAGAAGGAGGTTGGAGATCAGGTGACTGATAACAAAAAGTAATGCAGTCAGAGATCCATCTAGAGAGTCTTTGCTTGGGAATTGGAGATCCCTTAGATCTGTCCACAACCGACATGAACAATCTGGGAGATTTTCTAATGGCTTAGTCCTGTCCAAGGAAAAGGCTAATGCCCTTTTGACATCAAGGGTATGGAATACATCCTCCTCATTCAGGTGTGGTTTAGGAAAGAAAACTGGAAGATGAGTAGACTGGTTAATGTGGAAATCTGAGGACATCTTCAGTAAGAATTTGGGATGTGGATGCAATGTGACCTTGTTCTTAAAAAATACTGTGAAGTGGGTGGAGGGTATGCCATCAGATCCCTTATCTACCCAACTCTTTGAGCAGAAATGCCATTTTCATCGATAAGTCAAGAAGGGAACTGGCACAAAGGGAGGTCCTGTAAGGCACCTAAGCACTAAGTTGAGGCCCCAAACTGGGGTAGGATATTTGACTCGTGGTATGATTATATCTCATCATGAACGCCCAGTAGCTGGTGATTCTAAACGGCAGTGTTGCAGACAAATATGATGTGCACTAATTAAATCAAGACATTTCCTTTCTTTATAAACTTGGTGGTGCTGGTATGCTGCCCATGGATCCCAGTACGGCCAATCAGGGGGCCTGTATGGCATAGGTGGGCGCATCCAAGAGTGCCAGAGGTACAAGATGCCATAGGTAGGAGCACTCTCGGGTGCCCCCACCACTAGAATGGAACTTGAATGTTTCTTTCATTACTATGTTCCGTCTCCCTAGAATTCTTCAGAAAAATATTCCTCTGATAGCAAAGAGGAGAGCCCCGAACTGAAATGTGGGAGACTGATGAGAAATCCCCAACATCATCTTCATCATCATCACCGTCCATGTCACTTTGTAGAGGTGGCACACTGGTAGAAGAATGTGGTGATTCCATTGGTGAATGTCCAAGACCTGGGTACCTAAATGGATCAGTACCAAACAAAGGCGAGTCAGGCATCTCTGCTGCTGGAAGGCCCTGTGGAAAGCTAAACTCCTGCAGTACCGACGTGGTGACAGTACTGAGGAGGCAGCCTGAGCAGCGGTGATTGTGACAGAAGGAGCAGACAATATCGTAGGCTTTATGCATTCCCAGGAATGTTCACTAGCTGTTACCCTGGTCTTCGGCGGTACCAAAAGGTTAGGTACCGAGGACCTGGCTGATTCTACCAGTACCGACTTAGAAGAAGCAGACTTCTCCTTTGTCGCCTTTATCCCCCGATGGAGACAAACAAAGACCTTCCTGAGCTGGAACCCTTAGAATCGTTGGGTTTCCTGGGGTTCATAGCACCTGAGGAAGCTGCAGCCTTGTGGGAACCAAGTCAGGAACTGGCAGGCGCTGAAGTAGTTGTCTCACTCAGCCACCAGGGTTTTTCTGAGGTAGATTCCCTATCTGGGGAACCCGAGCTTCATTTCCTAAAGCCTTTTTGAGAGGATCCTTGAGTCTTCCTCTTAGAAGTTCTAGGAGAGTGTTGTGCTGAAATGGTTGAAGCGGCTGACTTGCTCTGAGATTGGTGTACATGGGGGGCAAACAGTCCCCTGGCCTGGGTCAGAAGCCAGACGGAGGGAGCTCTCCATCATTAGGTCACACAGTTTAATCTCCCGGTTCTTTCTGGCTCTGGATTTTAAGGCCAGGCGAAAATTACACTTTTTGTGGCTGTGTGACTCCCCGAGGCAACGAACATACTGGGGATGCCCTCGCTCACCGGGATAACCTCCCCGCACAAAAGGCAATGTTTAAAAATGGGAGAGCTGGGAATAACTTTCCAGCCATCTAAATTTCCCCCCAGGAAAAACTGAAAGGACAACGGTCCTTACAACAATTTTTTTAAAAACTAAACTACTACAACTAACTAAGCTAAATACAACTATGAGGAAAAACCTGCAGTTGAGGTAAGCTCAACTTGGACTTTGCTGGTGAAGAGCGGAATGGAGAGCCTACCTTATGAGAGGAGACTTGAGCTTGGCTTGTTTAACCTAATCAAACGAAGGCTGAGGGGAGATCTGATTGGTCTCTATAAATTCATCAGAGGGTTAACCACTGGGGAGGGAGAGGAGTTAAGTTAAAGGGCAATGTTGGCACAAAACAAATGGATGTCAACTGGTCATCAAGAAGTTTAGGCTTGATGTTAGACGATGGTTTCTAACCAACAGAGAAATGAAGTTCCGGAGCAGCCTTCCAAGGAGAGTAATGGGGGCAAAAAACCTAACTTGGTTCAAGACCGAGCTTGATAAGTTTAAGGAGGTTGCCTGAAATGGCCTATAGCCCATCTGTGACTTCTGTTAGCAAGTGTTTCCAACAACCATAGATGGGGCACTGGATGGGGAGGGCTCAGCGTAACTACAGTAAATTCTTTCCCACCTGTCTGGCTAGTGGGTCTCGACCATATGCTCAGCGTCTAATTGATGGCTATATTTGAGATTGGGAAGGAATTTTCCCTCAGGTCAGACTGGCAGAGACCCTGGGGAGATTTCACCTTCCTTTGCAGTGTGGGACACTTAGTGGTTTGAAGCAGAGTAAATGGTGGATTCTCTGTAACTTAAATCAAGGTTTGAGGACTTAGGTAACTCAGCCAAAGGTGGGTGGGTGAGGTTCTGGGGCCTGCCGTGTGCAGGAGGACAGAGTAGATTAAGGAGTCTCAAACATCATTGCATTGTGACCCCCTTCTGACAAGAAAAATTACTACATGACTCCAGGACAGGGGGACTGAGGCCTGAGCCCTACCGCCCAGGGTGGGGGGCCAAAGCAGAAGCCCAAGGGCTTTAGCCCCAAGCAGGGGGCCTATAACTTTAGCCCCACCCTTAGCCCTATCACCTTCGGCCCCAGGTGGTGGGGCTCGGGCTTCAGCCCCTGGCCCCAGCAAGTCTAATGCCAGCCCTGGCAACCCCATTAAAATGGAGTCACGACCCATTTTGGGGTCCCAACCCACAGCTGGAGAACCGCTGGACTAGATGATCAGCATGGTCCCTTTTGGCCTCAGTCTCTCAGTGCTGGGTACCACACCGAGCATGAAGCTGTCAGTGGTGACAGCTGGAGACCTGCTGACCCCAGAATGAGCATCGGAGGCAGCAGTGGCTAGATCAGGCCACTGATGTGACTCTGGCGATGACACCAGTCCCCGAGGAGGCTTTGGGGTTGTACTCAGAGGAGCGCACAGGACCAGCCTGCTGGGGAACCAGCGGCAGAAATGGGAGAGGCAGAACTCGCCCCGGTGCCGGGTAAGTTTCTGGCTCCATGTTTGTAGCTACTAATACAGGAATGGGAGGGATTTCCGGTTTATGTGCCAATGCAAAAGTAACGACAAGAGTAGGCTAGCAGCGTGTATCTGCTAATGGCGGTTTGCACGCCAGCACCTTGGTGCCCTTCCGCCCCACCTGGAATTCAACATGGCGACGGGGAAGCAAACAGCGAAACAAACTTTTCAGCTTTAAGTTTTACTAGGAACTCGCTCACTCTTGCCAAAATGTGCTGGGATGTTAAAAAGAAGAACCTTATAGTGTCTTCCTGCGACTCCGGTGTAATCATACACCTAGAAACAATGACATGACTGCGGGGAGGGGGAGTCCATTGAAGTTACATATAGTCCATGGGTGACGAAATCATGTGTCCGAAATATGGCTTGGGGTTTGTAGGCAGCCCAGAAGTGTGCCAGAGTAGGGGTGTGATGGCCTGCGACAGCGTAGAAGGGGCAGAGTGGGGATGGGGCCTTGGGCAAAAGAGGTGGGGCAGGCGGCTAGGCTCCCCAAACGGGGTGGGGGTGCACACACCACCCATGCCTTTGCACCGTCTCTCACTCTCAACTTCAAAATCACTCTCTTCTGGCTCCTTTCCATCAACTAGGCGACTGCTTCCTCTAAGCTCAGACGCCTTCCCTCTGTCCCCCTGTGGCTACCTCCCCATCTACTCCCCTGTCCCGGGGTAGCTGGCTCTTCAAATGAAGCCGGTCCAGCTCCCCTTGCAAGAACAGGGGCTCCCAATGTGGCCAATCAAAAGAGCGGGGCAGCACCTGGGGCTAAGGACAGCCAGGCTGGCAGCAAGGACAGGGGATGCTCATGGAGCAGGAGGCAGTGGGAACGTGCTGGAGGAAACGCCCTGGGAGGTGATGCTCTGTCAGAGGAGCACAGAAGAATCCTGCCAAAGGCCCTGAAGCAGGAGGGACTGAGAGGCAAAGGAGGAAATCCCTGAGGATTTGTTTTGTTGGTTTTGCTCATGTTTGGGAAATAAAATGGCCTGAAAAAAGATGCTGGGCGTGGCAGCGGCTCCTCCATGGGCTGGGGACAAGCCAGGACCTTATATCCCCTTTGCCTCCAAACTCCTGGACTCCACCCCCTTGCCTTCCTCCCCTGGCTGGGGGACAGGTTTGCTAAAGAGCTCAGCACCCAACCTTCACCTGGCATGCTGACCGCTGAGAAATCCGGCCCCGTGTTGGGATGTTGGCCTGGAAATTCTGGCCTTACTCTCTCCTGGATCCTCCTCGCTTCTGGATCCTCTCAGCAAAGGTGAACTGGCATAAACCACAGCGTCCGAAAGCCCCTCTGTGGGGCTAGAGACAAACGGAGCGACCACTTCCGTAGCGTGACATACAATCGGGGATGGGACCGCAAGCACTGCTCTTTGGGACCAGGCTACTGAGGCTGAGAACTACTAACTCGCTGCATGGGTGAAAGGAAAAGGGTTGCAAAAGCTACTGCGGGGTGGGGGGGCAAAGGAGGGGGCGGTCACCAGGTGCTGACACAAAAGACGGTGAGCCAGGCAGGGGCCGTGGGTGCTCTGTCCATTCCAATCTGGGCTAGCAGTGCAGTTAGGGAGCAGGCCAGCAGCTGGTCCTAGGTGGGCTGTCCCTGACACTGACTCAGCGGGGGGAGCTGTCTGCAGGGGGGAGGCGCTGTCTGCAGGGGCAGCGGGGGAACGGACCCTGCCCAAAGTGTCCGTTCATTTTTGGGCTAATCTCCCTCCGTCCCCCTCATTTCTGTGGTGACTTGTCACAGGAGCAGGTGGGATGTTTCCAGAGTGAGCGGGGAGGCGTTGGCCAAAGAAGGCGCTAAGAGTCCGTGTCTCGACTGCGGGGCTGCAGCCTCTTTCCAGCCCAGGGCCAGGGGGTAGGGCAGAGGGTCCCGGAAGCAGCAGCTGAGACGAGGCCTGTCCGTGCCCCCCAGATCCTGGGGTGTCTGGCTGCCGGCGCAGCGCTCTTGGGAGGGGAGGGGGCTGCCCGGCATGGGTGGGGGCTTCAGTGGGAATTTTCTATCGTGTCGGCATCAGGGGCTTTAAACAAACACAAACATCCCTTGAGACAGGATCAAAATCACCCCCCCACACCCAGCAGACACCTGTGGACATGGCCCCCCAGAACTCTCCCAACCCCACAAAGATTCTCCCCTCAGAGTCACCCCCCACCCTCAAGACAGATTCCCTTGTGCCCCACAGAGACCCTTCCCCACAGATGTCTCTCCCCCCACACACATGGTCCTGGTGGGTTCCATGCTCCCATCTCCCCCTCCTTTGCCGTCTATAACACACACAGACCTCTCCGGACCATGGACTCCCCCGACCCATAAAGTTGTGGGCACTGGAGTTGTGTGTGGGTGCATCACACCTACCTGAGCCGCAGGGGGCACTATACTCAGCCTCCGTGTGTTCACCTGTAACAGCAAGGGATGTAAGGAATGGAGGAGAGACCCAGTGGGGGCATGAGAACCCCTCCCCCTAATCTCACACAGGCAGAGTCTGTTACCCCAGCCCCAGGGGATCCCTGCTGTAGGTCTGTCCCCTAGAAGGGAGTGGGAGGTTGCCCCCAGCTGTCTGAGTGGGGCTGTGCGCTTTCTCCCATCCCCCGTCTCCAAGTAAGTCAAACGGGCTCCATCACTCGCCCCTCCAGGCACCAGGGAAACAGTCCTGCCACCTCCTGGCCCAGCACACAGGATTCTGGGGGAGTCTAAGGAACTGCATTGCAGGGGAAATGTGGGGGGCCCTGGAGAGGAGGGCCACACCTGCTCTGGTCATTCCTGCTGGGACAGCTCCAGTTACACCAGCCCCATGCACCCCACTAGCCCAACGAGCACATGGCTGCTGTGTCTCGCCAGGTGAGCCGACTCCACAGATCGAGCTCGGGAACACGCCCCTAGCAGGTGTCTCCAGCTTGACCCCCACAGGCCCACGGCGGGTCGGCTGCCAGTCTCTGCCCAAGTGCTGGGCCAGGCCCGAGCACGGGGCCGAGATCAGCCATGGACACGGGTCACAGGGAGCAGGGGGGATTGCAATGGCACCACCCTTTACCCAGGCACTGACTGTGCCACAGAGCCCAGGAGAGCGGCTGTAAAGGTGGTGGATCCCGGGCGGGACTCACCTGTCTTGTAGTAATCATACAGTCTCACTGGGGCTGCTCTGAGATTCTTCACAGGGAAATCCTGCTCCAGGGAGAAGGTGAAACTCGCCGCCTCCTTCGTCAGCTACCGAGAGAGCGACAGAGCGAGCGCCTGGGCTGAACGTCTGCACTGGCAGCTTGAATCCCCTTCTCCCCATGGCTCGGCCTGGCCCAGCCGCTTCCTCCTGCCCCTGAGGCCTGGAGCAGTGAGAAAATGCTCCCCCTGAATCCCTGTTCCAGCCCCCTGCAAAATGTGACCTCCTTTCATCACACTCAGGGCCCAGATCCAGCCCCTTCAACCCTGAGCTCCCCGTCGCTCCGTTCACGGCCCTCCCTGGGGTTTGGTTGAGTCTGGTCCCATCTCCTCGTCCTTTATGGAAACGGGTCACTTGGAACCAGGGGAGATATCAGTGACCCCACGCCGGGAGTGTGACACAAAGCCCACAAGAGCAACTGTAATGGGGGTGGAGCGAGGACAGGACACGCTCTCCGTGTTCACACCAGGCCCCCAGAGCCCTGAGCTGCCCGCACTCACCTGGTCCAGATAGAGCGTGACCTGGTCGTTCTGCACCTCCAGCCTCTTTACCAAAGGCTGCTTCTCCAGCTAGGAGCAGAGGGAGGAAACGGCTGAGCCAGGAACAGAGGGGCTGGGGCCAGAGTCACTGCTCTGCTGGGGCTGGGACATGGGGCAAACGCCCCCCGTGGCCCCCGTGGCCAAGGGGACTGGCTGTCACCCCCCATGTCAGTCACAGCTGAGCACTGGGTGTCTGCTGGGGGAGGGGTGGGAGTCTAGAAATGGGCGTTGTGTTGTAGGGGGAGCTAAGCAGGGTCAGGATCTGCTCAGTGACTGGATGGGAGACCCAGGGCTGCACAGTGCCCCACTGCAGGGGGCAGAGCTCTGCAGGGGGAGCTCGCCCTGGGGGTCAGAGCTGCAATCTGTGCTCTCCTGGGGGTCTGGGCTCTCCCCCATGGATCAGCCCCTGGTTTCATGCTGTGTGACTGGCCCTGCCTGTTCTCCTCCCTGGGAAGCTCACCTGCCGCAGGGACCTCTTGACAGGGGTGTAGCCGGACGGCAGCTTGGCCTCGATGATGGCCATGTTGGAGGCTGGGCGCTCCCCACTGTACCTGCAACAGAAGCCGTGCACTGAGGTCGGGGTTTGCCCTGGATACAGACCCCAGGGGGATGGATGGGGAGGGGAGGCCTCCTGTCTTCTCGGCCCTGCAGGCGTCTCTAATGCCCTCTGCCTGCTCTGGGCTGGGAGCCACGCTAGCCCCCGGACAGCCCTGAGCTCCCCAGGCAAGAAACTCGGTGCCAGGAGCTCCTTGGGAGCCGACTGTCCATTAGATCAGCCCCGGGACTAGCCCTTTAGTCCCTGGCACATTCCAAGGGGCCCCTGCCTCTGCCCCGAGCCCTGTGGGGGGATGGCTCCCCCGGCGATCGATTCCTGCCCCGCCCCGGCCCGGCAGTGGGGTGGCTCTGCCCCGGCCATTTCCCCGCTGCCTGGGGCCTGTCCCTGCCCCCGGACCCGGTGGGGGGCTGGGGCTCATACCGGGCGTGCAGCACGAGGCTGAAGCGGGATCTGGCGCTCTCGGTGCACTCCTTCGGCTCTGTCTCCACACGCAGGTCAAAGGTCACGGTGCTCTTTGGGGGCGGCACGTTGTAGCGCAGAGTCAGCTGGGAGACAAGCAAGAGGGTTGGGGCAGAGCCTGCTGCCTCCGCTACCGCAGATCAGAGCCTGGGCCCAGAGCCAGGCGCCGTGGGGCAGGGCAAGGGCACAGCCAGTCACCGCTGGGCCGGCTGGTCCCCAGAGGCTCCTACACTCACCTGCACAAAGACACAGCCCTTGCCGCTAGCCCGCACCGTGTACTGCCCGGGGATGTCCTGAAGGGCCGCTCGCTGCAGCACCAGCCGGTTGGCGTTCTCCACGTGGAATTGCTGCCGGGCCCCGGCCTGGGAGCTCACCGTCACCGACACAGCCCCACTTGTGCTGTACGTCAGGGCCGCGTATTTGGCCAGGGCCTGCAGGGCCACCACCGTGTCCTGGAGAGGAGAGTCACCGAACTGCTGTCACGCTCTGGGGAGAGGAACCCGGCTCAGACTCACTGCAGCAGGATCGGGACCCGCCGGGGCGCTGACACCGAGACCCCGGCTCCCAGCCCCTGAGGGCAGGGGGCTCTGCACAAAGGACTCCTTAGGGTTACCATATTTAGTGCCTCCGAAAGGAGGACACTTTAAAGGGGCCCCAACCCCGCCCCCAGCCCCGCCCCAACCCCGCCCCCTCCCCAAAGTCTCCGCCCCCTCCCCTCGCTTCCCGCGAACATTTGAGTTGCGGGAAGCCTGAAGCAGGTAAGGGGGGGTGTGGGGGG